AGCACACTGATGTTTCTCTCCCTCTCTTCCTCCCTCCCTTCCCCTTTGTCTAAAAATAAAATAAGAAAATTTTAAAAACCTCATCTTCCTCCAAAGGGTGCATGCTGCCAAATGACTTAATCTTCAGATGTACAAAAAAGACTAAAAGGTTATAGTCATCAGACTCTTAAAACTAAGACTAATGAGGACATATAGGCAGGAAGATTTTAAGCTTACAGATTGTGCGGCACAGTCCTACCAAAAGTCAAACAAGAACTACTCTGGGGGAAAAAGCAGCCCACTATCTGGCCTACAGCCAGAGGCAGGCTGAAAACCAATGACTTAGTGCTAAGAGATCACAGGGTAGGATTTGAACAGGGGCTGGGAACTAAGCATGAACTTGGGCTTGGCCACTTAGGACCTGGGTAACTCAGGCCACTCCGTCTCTTTTGGGCTGCCCTTTTTCCCATTATAAAGGCCCACAGAATTATGAAGTGTTATTAAAGTCCAGGCTTCAAGCAGAGCCAGATCCCACAGGAACCAAACAAATAGCTTACACGCACACAGGCAAGGCCACGCGGCCATCCAGTCTTGGAGATAAGCCCTTCTTTGAACAGATGAGAGCACTTAGGGGGAGAGAGAGGGGATGCTTATCCGAAGATACATAGCTGCTGAAGTGGCAGCACTGGCCTGGCAACTCCAGTCTCCTGACTTCTGATTCCGCATCCTTCTTCCTACCCTGCCAGCCCTCCTAAGTGCACACATCCAGAATGTGTGTGGGTGTGTGCTGCTGATCTATACCCCATGACACCAGGCACTCCGATACGGTGTGGTAAGGCTATTCGCACGCTGGTCTCCCCCCAACTACTCTATCTTCTTTCTGTGGCAACAACCCAGCGGTGTTTCACAGAGAGTAATGGTCAAATTTTTGTTGAACTAAGACCATTGTGTGGGACTCCATAAAACAATTCTCATAATACAACCAAACTTGACCTGCCAAAGAGAAAGAGAGAGACCTCTTTCTCATTCTTTCACACAGGCTTACAGGCAGCTAACAAAAGTTAGTGGTTCATTTGCAAAAAAAAAAAGTACGAAAGTTCGTAGGGGCACTTTAGAGAGATTAGCCCACCATACAGGGAAGTGTGTAATGACAGATGAGAGCATTCTTCAAAGAGAAAGGGCTTCGAAAACTGCAGGGTGCACGTACCATGGTTTCTGAGAGAACGAACCAGGTACACGAGGAAAGCGAGAGTACACCAAGGGTTTCAAATGCACATGACTGTGTCCAAGCCTAGATGAAGCCTACCCCAGGCAGCGGAACCCCGCCACACGGGTTGCCCTGTAGGGCAGTGCACAGGGGGAGATGGGCCAGAGCGGTGCCAGCCAAGCACTAATGTGCATGAGGTCAGCTGACCGGGGATGGCCCTAAGGGTCTGCATGTCTAACAAGCCCCCAGGTCTTACCAAAGCTTCTGGGCTATGGGCCACACTTAGAGTAGGAAACCAGCAATATGGGAGAGTGGGTTTTTTTTTTTTAAGAATAAAACTTTCAAACAAGCTCACACATCTGTTGAGCAGGGCATTGGTTAAACATGAGACTCCCTTCACATGACAGAACACTGCAAAGTATGAAGAACAAGAGAAATTTGCGCGAGTCATTTAGAAAAATCAGCAAGATATGTAGTTTGAATAAAAAAGGCAAATCAAAGCCGAGGGGGGGGTAAAAATCTATACCACTTGTAAAAGAAAACGCATACTTGATGAATTTCAATTATTACCTGCTGCTGTCTCTGGGGATGGGACTACAGGGCTCTCTTGCCCAACATTTCTGTATTATTCGAAGTTTGGGGGGGGGGGGACTTTTTTTTTTTTTAACAACGACCAGGTGTAACTTTTATAATCAGAGTAACAAAGATGATAGTTTTGTTTTTAAAGTGTTTCCTGCAAGCGGCATATCGGTTGTATGGATACCAAGTTCTGACAAGAACATTTCTATGGCTAACGTGCAAAGAGAGAGATTCCTCAAGGGCCACCGCCACCTTGTAAGATCTGACCCCCAGACTAGGGAGGATATATGTCCTTTTTTGAATGGCTACTAGACAATAGGGAACAAAGCAGTATCGCAAGAGCAATTAGGAACAATGAGCCCAAAGTTCACTCTGTTCTCCCAACCTCTGTGCGTCCCTTTGTGAATAGTGTAGGAACTACTTTTCTTTTTAATTTTATTTATTTATTTTTAGAGAGAGAAGGGAAAGAGAAAGAAAGGGAGAGGGAGAGAAACGTCAGTGTGTGCTTGCCTCACACTTGCCCCCAACTAGGGACCTGGCCCGCAACCCAGACATGTGCCCTGACTGGTAATCAAACCAGTGACCCTTTGGTTTACAAGCCCACGCTCAATCCACTGAGCTACACCAGCCAGGGCAGAACTGCTTTTCTTTGAAGCCCCCCATTTAGGTTAGAATGGAAACTTCAAACTGTTGGGTATCCTGATTATGGCAGTAGCACCTGACTCCACTCATTGGTCAAAACACTGAGCTGAACGCACACTCATTTGCCTGGTACACCTGACTAAGCACTGCCCCCTGGTCCAGGTAATCTCTTCCCTGGAAGAGATCCCAAAAGCAAAACAGTCAGGAGAGTGAGATTTCGAAGCCACAGTATATGGGGAATAAGCACCATTCTATCTGCCACCACAGTGACTGCTTCAGAACTCACTTTCTGCACTTTTGCCAGCATCTCTCAAGTGGGGCCCCACGGACAACCCTACAGGTAGTGCCGCTGACTCCCTCCTGGTGGCCCAGGCCTTCACTAAAGGGCACTAAGGGCTCATCAGCTTTCGCAGTAGCCTGGCCACTAACTCTTAGCTGCCATGAGCCATGACCACGAGCCTTTCAATATCCTCTTTGGCCCTACCTCCACAGCCCTTTATGAACCTACACATACTTTTGCAGATATTTCCCTTTTAAAAACTCAAATCTCATTCGAATCCACCCGGCCATGGATTACGAGGCAGAAAACTACCTGCTGCTCACTTCCTCCTAGTTCCCATTATCTCCCTGCATCCACTCACCATGACAACTGTCCTCAGCAGAGAACACTAAACAGGTCAGGGGTGGAGCACAAGCTCCTGAGACAGCCACTCAGGGGAGTTAGGAACCCCCAACTCAATGACACTGCTATACCAGCACGGGGCCCACAATGTAGCACCTGGTCCGTAAGAACTGAACTGGATCTTGGCAATCCTTCCGCTGAAAATCCACATACACCAGCTCAACAGAAGGTAGGGGCAGACTGAGAGAACTGGCTCTCTAGGAACTCAGAGTAGTCACCAGCAGTGCCTCCTTTCTTTGAGAGTGCACAAGCTACTCTTTCTAGAACATGGCTTGAGATCATAATCGGACCCTCCCATTCTATTTACTGTCTCATCTATCTTCTCCCTCCATTGGAAATCGGGATGCTTGCCTGTCTGCAATCTTCCAGAGTCTCTCCTGCCATACAATCGCAAGAGCCTTTGGACATAATGCCATCAAGTCCAAGTGTAATCTAAGTCATTTTGAGTAGCTGGGCACTCCAGTGTACCTTTGCTCTTCTGAGAGTTCAATCATCTTATCCAAATGCTTCCTTCACCCCTGACCTTCTGCCCACCATTCCTTACTTGACACAGAAACATCAAAGGGGTTACCTTCTCCCAGTGTCCTACACCATGTTTCATGCTCCAGAGCTCACGGCGGACTTCCATCTTCCTGGTACTATTCCTAAGCTCTCTCTGTGTGCTCTTCCAGGGCAGCCCTTGCTTTTCTGCCTGTCTTTCCTATCCTTCAGATGAGATCTGAGCTGGCTGGGGAGCCCCAAGTACCTCTGCGGTCCCTGAGACTTGGAATGTCATCATGTCCCAGTTCCCCCACTCTCAGGCAGATGGGCTCGGAGTCCTGTTTTGAGACCTGATCTTCCAAACCTGCCTCCCTTTCAGTCTCAGCCTACAAGATCGTCATCTTTTTCAGAGTTTTCCTAAAACCCTGACATCCTAGAGTGTCTGACTCCTTCCAGCCTTGGCACTTTCCAACTCTTGTGATCGGATGGCTCACCACGAAGAGCTGCCTGCCCCTTCCAGTGCCACCCTTGCCACGTTCCAACTTTGACCCAGAGAGGGCTACCTGAGCAACTGACTTTTTTTCTGAAAAAACTGAAAGCCAGGTAGGTATTCTAATGCCCAGTGAAAAAGGATGTCCAGGGGATGGGCACTGGGAGATCCCGGCCCAAGGGTCCACACACTCACCCTGCTTCTGAGTATCTGCACAGCAAGCTGCTTCCCAATACTTCTGGAAGCCCTTGGCCTGCGTGTTACATCTACCCCCTGCCAGTCAGCATTCTTGAAAACAGCCAGGTCCCCGATCAGAACCCCTATAAGCAGGAGGCAGTAAACCAGCCCCAAGCTCAAATGGGTGCTTTCTCTCAGTCTAGTCTTGCCCAACTAGCCAACCCCATGGCCCTGCTCAAGGCATTCAATCTTACCAAAATAAAAAAAAAACCCATCAGCAAAATTCAGACCATGGTAAAACACAATATGCTCTCACTACTCCCACAAGGGTTACATCTGGAAAGGCCCTAGGACAACAGTTGGTCTCAGCCCTTTCATGTCGTTTCTGCCCACTGTTCCCAGGGCAGGACCCCATACACAAAAAGCCTGTTTAATTGGTCCCCTTTAAACTGGGCTTCAAAGGGCCTCTCCCAGAGGGAAACACTTATGTCATGCTATGTACAGAGAGCAAGCTGTTAATGTGTTTGCCCTAAAAGAGCATGTGGCAAGTTGCAGCACAGCCAGAACTTGGGTCTTCTGAACTTCCGGTCAGTCCTCTCTCACTCTTCACACTGCCTCTGGAGGTCGGGGGAAAATTGGAGAACTCTGGGGAAACTGTGGCTCCTCTAACACAGACAGGCCTCTGGTTCAAGACCGTGAACTGAGGAATCAGTCACAAGCTAGCTCAGGGGTCCCCTCATAGTCCCTTGCCCCTCCCCACTCACAAGGACAGCAGCAGGGAAAAACCAGCAATGTAGAGATTCCTCTGGGCACGGAAAAGCTTCATGTGGAAATGTTCCATGGCTCCGGGGTTGTTCTGGAGGTTCACCTTCTCTGTCACGTCGTCATACTTCCTAATCTCACGTACGGCATCTGCAGTGGAAGAGAGGAGAGACAGGGTTTAACTCCCTCTGGACCAAGTCTGGGCTGTCCAGCTGAGACAGTGAGTCACGGAGGCCTTGATTCCCTCAAATCATCTCCCCTTACCGCCCTTTCTACATGCACCTCGGGGGGATGCCTGTCAGAGCGCTATCCTCAGACCCTCTGTCCCCCCTCCAGCTTTTCTCAGCTCCCTCCCTGGCTCCATTCTACCAGGGCCACAAGCTTGCTCTGTCTCAAGATGCTAGCCAAGTCTGAGGCACGGCTAGCCCAGAACAGCTCTCTTTTCCCACGGTTCCATGCAATGTCTGGTTCTGTTTATCTCAAGTCAGGCAGGCCAGCAGCCACCCCAGATAAACCAGGGTGGTCCTGCTTACGGAAATGTCTGCTAAGGAGACAGGAGCTGTCTAGGAGACAAGGACCAGAAGATGCCTGGTAAAGATTCAAGGGTTTTTGTTTCCAAGCTTTATAACAGGTTTTATTTAAACCATTTTTTTCGGATTAAAAAAGGAGTTCGTGCTCATCAAAAGTTCAAACATTCCAGAAATGTAGAAAAAGAAGAATCCCGTGACACAATCACCAGTCGGATACACAATATGTGGCCATCTTATCTAAAGCTGCCACTTTCAGTCCCATTACCTATGTTATTTTGACAATACATGCCCGTATCTGAAATTATCCTAATTACATGTTTATTGTCTGTCTGCCCCCAAATTAAACTACCAACTCCGCAAGGGCAGAAAACTTTTCTACTACACCCCGGGCCACAGCACAGTTCTAGATTCACAGGGGGCATGCAAATAACTGCAGAATGCTGAAGAGCCTCTGCTCCTTAGAGCTGTTAGACATACAGCACTCTAGTTTATAAGTACTTTTACATCTATGTTTATAAAGTAGAAACAGAAACATCCCATACCTGTTTTCTCCCCAAACCTGAGACATCTTTTTGAGTCAGTACATGAAGACCTACCTAAAGAGGGCCCTTAACAGACCCCTATATAAGAGGGGCAAGGTATCACTGTATGGGTATTATATGATCCTTAATTCCTGTCTTACGACTGCTTGGTTTTTAGCTGATCTTCCATCATAAAAATGTGCCTTCCCTCACTGGTGCCTTTGTGTTAAATCTGTACCATAAAGCAAGCACTCTCTTAACACTGTCAGCAGGTGCAGAAAATGGACAACTCACCTATTTTCACAAGAGACTGTGAGTTCCTGTCTTCCCACTTTCCTCTGTGGAATCCTACCCCCAAAGGCATGGTATTAACAGGGGGTGATTAGGGCATGAGTGCAAGGCCCTCGTGAATGGGATTAGTGCCCTTATGAAAGGGTCCCCGAAGAAATCCCTCACCCCCTTCTGCCACGTGAGGACACAGTAAGAAGGCAGTCGTCTTTCGACTAGGAACAGAGCTCTCATGAGACATGAGTTCTGCTGGCACCTTGATCCTGGATTTCCAGCCTCCAGAACCGTTAGAAATAAATGTGTTTTTTAAGCAAGCAATAAAGGTATTTTTGATACAGCAGCCCAAACTAAGACACAGAATTTACAGGAAAACGTTCATATCCTTGGATTTATCAATTTCACTTCTATGAATTTATCCTACAGAAGCACTTACATAAATTTACAATGATACTAGGATGCATCTAAAGAAGGAATTAAATGAGAATATAACCATATGATACAATACAAGCATACTTTATTTCATTGCATCTCACAGATACGGAGCTTTCCTCAACAATGAAGCAAGACCCTTCGCCAGCAAAGAGATTATGACTCACTGAAGGCTCAAATGGTTAGCATTTTTTAACAAAGTATTTTTAATTAAGGTATACACATTATTTTTATAAACATAATTACACACACGCTACAGTATTGTATAAACAACTTTTATATGCCCTAGGAAAACAAAAAATGTATGTGACCCGCTTTATGGTATGACAGCCTCCTCACTGCAGGGGTCTGGAACTGAAACCACAGTACTTCCGAGGTTGCCTGTACCGTCAGCCCTCTGTAGCTGTGTGTTCCACATCTGTGGATTCAACCAATGCAGACCAAAAATATTTGGAAAAAAATGTTACAATGTCGCTGATGTGTATTGTGTAGTTAGGCCTATGATGGTGTTTCTGTACTGAAAATGTACTCACTTTTTTTTGGTCATTATTCCCTAAACAATACAGTATAACAGTTATCTGGCATTACATGCATTAGGTATTATAAATACAGATGATTTAAAGTATACAGGAGGATGTGTATAGGTTATATGCAAATACTACACCATTTTACATAAGGAACTTGAGCATCCACAGAATCTGGTAATCACAGGGATCCTGGAACCAAACCCACAGATAGCAAGGAACATTTATATTACACAATCTTTAAAAAGAAAGAGACTGCTATAAAAAGATGTCATAAGATATAGTAAGTGGTCAATTAAAAAACGGGAAAAGGACTTGAACAGGTACTTCTCCAAGGAGGACATACAGAATATCCAGAGACACATGAAGAGATGCTCAATATCACTAGCTATCAGAGAGATGCAAATTAAAACCACAATGAGATACCACTTTACACCAGTCAGGATGGCTATCATAAACAAAGCAACAAACAACTCATGTTGGAGAGGTTGTGGAGAAAAGGGGTCCTTAGTTCACTGTTGGTGGGATTGCAGACTGGGACAACCATTATGGAAAACAGTATGGAATTTTCTCAGAAAAATAAAAATCGACCTGCCTTTTGACCCAGCAATTCCACTGCTGGGATTATACCCCAGGAATCCTAAAACATCAATATCAAAGAACCTATGCACCACAATGTTCATAGCAGCACAATTTACAATAGCCAAGAGTTGGAAGCAACCTAGGTGCCCATCAGTAAATGAATGGATCCAAAAATTGTGGTACATGTACACAATGGAATTCTATGCTGCAGAGAGAAAGAAGGAGCTACTACCATTTGCAACAACATGGATGGAACTGGAAAGCATTATGCTGAGTGAAATAGGCCAGGTGCTGAAAGATAAATACCATATGATCTCACCTTTGACAGGAAGCTAAACAACAAAACAAACAAGCAAGCAGGAAAAAAAAAACAAAAAAACAAAGACACTGAAATAGAGAACAAGGGGATAGTGACCAGAGGGGAGAAGGAAGGGAAGTTAAGGGGAAAAAGGGGGAGGGATTTGGAGGAACAAATAGGAAGGACACAGGGACGAGAACTAAGGGGGGTGGAAAGGGGAGGGAGGTGGGGAGCAAGGGGTGGGGGAGGCTGGGATGGGAAAAATAGACAAAAAACTGTACTTGAAAAATAACTAAATAAAATTTTTAAAAAAAGACATTAGCATAGAAAATGACTATGGAAATGTACAATAAAGCATTAATAATGGGGAGGGAATTCCAGTCAAGCCAGCAGTGTAGGCAGACATGGCTCACCTCTTTGCACAACCACATCAAAATTACAAATAAAATATAGAACCACCATCACTCAGAACTGCCAGAAATTGAGTGGAATGGAAGTCTGACAACTACAGAATTAAAGAAACCACATCCATCCAGACTGGTAGGAGGGGTGCAGATGCAGAATGGGCTGGTCCCACACCCACGTGTGGTGGATAAAAATTTGGGAGGGGTATCTCCACCCAACTGCTTTTCCAAATGAGCGGCTGGTCTTGGCTCATACTGCACAACTTCCTAAATCCTCTCAAACAAGCCACAGCTGGCCTCAGTGAGTCCCAGGCCCGGCACTGACAGCAGCAGCCTAGACTCACAGCTTCACTTCATCTGGGAATCTCCAATCCCAGCACAAGTGACAACCACCTAAGATTGCTTTATACCTCAGGTAGGGTGGTCCAGAAGAAAACACAGGTTGGGGCTGACCTTGGCCTGCACCACCTGGGAAATCTCAGGGCCAGTGCACCCACTGGACAGCTACAGACCACGTTGGAGCACCACCACCCTGCCCCTGCACAGTTAGCTGATCCTCCATGGAGGGCAGAGTTTGGTGGTCAGTAGTCACAGCCAGTCCTTGTAGCTGATTGGCCTGGGTAAGTCCCTCCCATTGATCTGCCAACAGCAATCAAGGCTCAACTATAACAGGTGGGTATACTCACCCCACACGATGGCTGCACCTTGAGTACCCCCAGCTTGGGTGATAGAAGAGGCTGTGCACTACAGGACACCTACCACATCAGGCCATGCTACCAAAATAGGGAGTCAAAGCAGCTCCACTGAATACATAGAAACAAACACAGGGAGGCTGACAAAATGAGGAGACAAAGAAACCTGGCCCGAATGAAAGAACAGATCAAAACTCCAGAAAAAGACCTAAAAGACATGGACATAAGCAATCTATCAGATGCAGAGTTCAAAACACTGGTTATAAAGATGCTCAAGGAACTTAGTGAGGACCTCAACAACATAAAAAAGATCCAGTCAGAAACAAGGGATACACTAATAAAGAACCATTTGCAGGGAAACAACAGTAGAGTAGATAAAGCTGAGAATCAAATCAATGATTTGGAACATATGGAAGGAAAAAACAACCAATCAGAACAACAAGAAAAAAGAATCCAAAAAACAAATGAGGATACTACAAGCAGCCTCTGGGACAACTTCGAGAGGTCCACCAGTCACATCATAGGAGTACTAGAAGGAGAAGATAAAGAGTAAGAAATTGGAGATCTATTTGAAAAAATAATGAAAGAAAATTCCCCTAATTTAGTGAAGGAAATAGACATGCAAGTCCAGAAAGCACAGAGAGTCCCAAACAAGATGGATGCAAACAGGCCCACTCCAAGACACACCATAATTAAAACACCAGAGGTTAACGATAAACAGAGAATCTTAAAATTCGGCACAATGAAAAAAGCTAGTAACCTATAGTGGAGTTCCCATAAGACTGTCAGCTGATTTCTCAAAAGCAACTGCAGGTTAGAAGGGATTGGCAATAAATGTTCAAAGTCATGAAAAGCAGGGACTTACAGCCAAGACTGCTCTAC